TTTTTTTTTATGAAAAAAAATTATTCTCTTTAGATTGTGACACTCTTCATATTTTGTGTCTCTCATTAAATACCAAAAATATTATTGTTAATTTGTTATGACCATATAAGTACGATTTGATGCTAACTTCAATCCTAGAAAATATTTAATATAAATAAAACATTAGTATGTACTACAAACTTTTAACTTGTGATTGAAAATAATTATTAACGATTGCAATTTTGATGTAGCAAAAAAATCATGACTAGATTATCTAATATTGGCACAATTTTCATAACTTCTAAAAGAGCTATTGTTTAGCCAGAGATTTGCTTCAACAATAATTTATTGTGGCTAAAAATTATTATTACTTCGATAAATTTTAGCTGTAGCAAAAAATAATAATTAGTTATGGAATTATGAAAGCAAAATAATTTATGTCTATTTCATTAAACTCTTGCCACAATCTTTTATTACTTGAAGTAAGATTATTTTATTTAGCTACAATATTTGTTTGAAATTATATATTGTAGCTAAAAGATCACTATTGCTAGAGTTAATTTTATCGCGTGGCAAAAGCTTAAAATTAATTAGAAAGTTTCACCGTAGCAGAAAAATATACTTGTAGCAAATATTTAAATTATATTAAATGTAATAGCTACTGTTTAGGAAAATTTTGATTAGTAGCTACAGTTTCTCCCAATTGCATGTAGTGCAGTATATTTTATGTATTAAAATATTGAAAATCACAAGGAAATAGTTTTAAGCCATAAAATAGATATAATCAATGTCATTATTATTATATGTAGAATCCCCGTAAAATATGTTTATTAAATTGAAAGATTTGACTGCTCCAAATTTCTTTATTAGGAAAAGCTTATTTGGGCAATACAATAGATATAATCAATGTCATTATTATTATATGTAGAATAAAATAAATAATATGATTAACATTATTATTATTGAGCTATATTAATTATTTTCCCAACATTTTAATCATCTGATTTTGATAAATTGCTAATAACAAAATATTTTCTTGTTTTCTAGTCATTGTTACCTTCTTTGTATGACCATTTTTTCTTAATTTTTGAATACTCAATTATGGCTCCACAATTTAATTAACTTTGAGCTTTTTGAATTTCAAAAAGTAGAAATTATTATATTTTAAAATCAAATATATTTTCAAAAGTATATATATAATTCTTATTTTTATAAAGATTTGAAAATATTTTTGCAAAAAAAAATTGTTTGTTTTGAGTGACATAATTGGGACTTTTATTTTGGGATAATGCCCAAGTACCCCTCAACCTATGCCCGAAATCACAGAGACACTTATAATATACTAAGGTCCTATTACCCCCCTGAACTTATTTTATTAATAATTTTTTACTCCTTTTTAGCTTACGTGGCACTATCTTGTGGGTCCAATGATGGTTGACTTTTTTTTTCGAACTAGTGCCACGTAGGCTAAAAAGGGGTAGAAAATTACATATAAAATAAGTTCAGGGGGGTAATAGGACCTTAGTATAGTATAAGTGTGTCTCTGGGATTTCGGGCATAGGTTGAGGGGGTACTTGGGTATTTTCCCTTTTATTTTAAAAGTTACTTGTCTATAAAATAATAATTACTTTATATAGTTAAATTTAAGATGCTTAGAAATTAATTATAAACATATTTTTTTTGGAAAGCTACATAATTAGACATATTTCACAATGCATTTTTCTACCCTCAACACAAAAATAGGGGGAGTCAAGCGAGATGGGGAGGGAGGCAAGCAAGATTCGTATGTATCTCATATATATGTGAATCACTCAAAATATAGACTAGATACAAATATTTGTATGTATCTAGAGTGATTCGCATGTATCAGGGATACCATACACATGAGAGAGTAGCGAGCGAGATGGAAGAGAGTCAAACAAAATTTGTTATGCATTCAGATACATGTAAATTCACAATTTCAAATTAATTAAAGTTTCAAAGTTAATTAAAGTTTAAGCATCAGGTAGTGACAGTCATTTCGACACAATAAGTTTCTTTAACTATGTTCATTTTATGACTTAATGGTCACTCGATAATTAGTTGCACAATGACAACATTACATTACTTGAACACTGAATTTAAAATTAGATTATCGGATAACAAGTAGGTACATACTATTTATGTAATCGGATAACCAGTAGGAACACAATACAACTTAATGTTGTTCAAGATAAATCTAAATAATGTGGAATGTTTACGGGAATCCACTCGTCGCCTTTTATAAATTTTCTAACCGTAAAGTTTGAATAAGAAGAAACAATCATAATTCATCAAAAATAATGAAAGTATATATAGAGACAGGGAGTTACAAACAGTTATGGTGTCATAGGTTTTGTTGTCGGCGACAAAACTTCTATTACCCTTTATGGTCGTAATATCCATCCCTTTCTCCAATCAGGAATATATTAGTCTTCTTTTTATCAACTCTAATATATTCCTCATACATGCCTTTTTTTAAATTTTATGAAAAATGGCTTGACACTGTGATCAGGGGCCTCAAATATTGCTCCAACACAACTTTTGAATCATTTATAAATAAATTTTGAAAGAATTTAAAATTCCTATACAGCTTCGCTATCCTAGCTTTAAAATCAACATCGAAGGAGTTGATGAAATAAGCCGAACAAATTGAATAAAGTAGCTTTCAAAATCACATAGTAATTCCACTCAAATTTAGATACATTGAGAAAAATGTTGAACACAATAAAAATAGTGATTTTTTTACGAATTATTTATCTTTTTCTGCTCATTATTATTTTACATGTGATACTATTGTTAAAGTCCAGTGGGTTGAAACTCAACATATGCCATTTCTTCTGTAAAGTCACTGTCAAGTTCATTATTATTTGGTGTTTGACACAATAAGTTTATGTAAATATATTCTTTTTATGATTTAATGCCCAGTTAATTAGTTGAACAATGGCAACAATCAATTACTTTGAAGAAGAAATTTCAAATAAAATAATCATATTTTGAAAAAAAAGAACAAGATACATACATAGTAGACTCTTGAATCGGACTTTAATAGCCATTAATGAGCTAAGTCAACCTAAAGATATAATATGATTTGGTAACATTTCATTTCTCGATTCACCAAGTCACAATATCATACTAATTTGATATTCCAAAGTTATATTTTTTAACCAAATTAAAGAGAATTATAGTCTAAATCGGTCTACAATTTTCTATTTGTTATATAGTAGAGCAGCACCAAATATATGCTACCAACTGGCATATATACAAAATCAATTGTAATTGTGTCATCAAAGCTTTTGACCAAATGACCATATTAAAGTTGAGAAAACCGTTTGACCTCTCCAAATTTCCTTATTGGGAAAAGCTTATTAAGGCAATAAATATAATCAATGTCTTAATTGATATAAAAATAATGCTAATGAAGAAAAAGATTGATTGAAAATCATATTTAGAGTGAATTAATATTAAATTATTTCTATGCCTAAATAAAAAGAGGATACTTAGTATTACTACTTTATGAAAAAAATCATATTTAGAGTGAATTTATATTAAATTATTTCCTGCATAAATAAAAAAAAGATACTTACTATTACTACTTTATTTCAAAATTATATTTGGAGTGAATTAATTTTAAATTATTTCCATGTCTAAATAAAAAGAGGATACTTATTAATGCTAGTTTATTTCGAAAGGAAATGATATAATTACCACAATCTTTACCCAATAATATCTACAGTCTTTTATGGAAAATAAATAATATGAATATATATTGATATAGCTATAAGAACCACTTGACATATGACTCAAAAAATACAAGTATAACTGAAGATGAATTTCGTGAAAGCATTATCACTTATTTTCATGCTCTTTCTTTTTTTCGTAACTTTTTCATCGGGAGATTTGATAGAAGATGTTTGTCGAAGGTCTAGTGATTATAAAACTTGCATCGATGCTCTTAGAGCGGACCCTAAGAGCTCTTCCGCTGATAAAAAAGGTTTGGCACGTATTCTACTTCAACAATGTTTAACAAAGACAAAAAGCATTTACAATAAGATTGTAAGTCTACTAGAGCAAGTAAAAGAGCCCATTATTTTACAATCCCTTCAAGTTTGTAAGGAAAATTATGACAGTGCGATAGATGATGCTACATCAGCACTTAAATATTTTGATGCAAATGACATTTTCGGAGCGAGCAGTGCAGCTACTGGTATTGCGAGTGCTCCACAGACTTGTGAAGATTCATTTGCTGAACCACCTGTCAGAATATCCCCAATTAAATCAATTGATAAGGATTTTATGAATTTTATTGGTTTAACCATTACTTTGCTACATCAATTAAAAAATTAATATGTAATCAGAAATTCAGCAATCTGTTTTAACTTATAAGATGCTTTCATGATTTATGCTAAGGTTTATTTACGAGTTATTTGGCTTTCTCTGCTCTTTAATTACCTTCATAGTTATTCTTTATGTTAATAATATAGTCTTCTTATTTTTATAGGACAATACACATATAGTTTATTGATGTATACTATCTATGTTCATGGCTAATTACCAAAAGAGGATTTATATCGATTTAAATCCACATTAAAATTTCAATTAAATTCGGATAGACCTATTCGGAAAAAAAAATATGTCCACTGAATCTAATTCATATAGCCAAAATACCCGGCCCATAAACAGTCAAAATGGCTCAGCAGAAGCAGAATTTGCGCTAAAGCCCAAAGCATATACCAACAGATTACAGCGCCAAGATGATCGAATATTGTGAATATTTTTGAATAACAAGTTTCCCTGAATCCCAATTTTTGAAATTTTAATTCAGATTAAATTACCAAGTAACAATTATTATTGAGATTTTTATATTTAATTATTTTTCAACTTGAAATAATATGAATGTGTAAGATTTGACACAATACGTTATGTTCTTTTTGGTGATTTAATGTTAAGTAAACTAGTTAGACAATGACAACAATGAATACTTAAAGACTAGCAACAATGAATTACTTAAAAGACATAGTACTACGATTTTTATAAATTACTAGGAATATAATACAACCTATTGTTATTCAAGATAAATCTAGGTAATGAGGGATATTGGTAGGAATCCACCGGTCACCATTTATAAATTTTCTAACGGTAAAAGTTGATGCAATATTAGGATACTACGGATGCCCATGTCACACGTCCCTTCGTGACGGCACCTGGTCCTCTATTTTTGTACTCCAAATAATATGGTCGACGAATAATACTGGATTTATTTGCTGATTCAATCCACTCAACCCATCCTCTAGGATCTATTAAATCATCGATATAGCTTTCCATTATCACAGTCCTAGAAAATGTACCCCATGGCCGACCTAAATATGTCGTGACGTTCGATTTCTTCAAATCGGGGGTAGCTTTTATCGTGCAATTTTGAAGCACTATTCCAGATTCGTAGGACTCAAGCTCTCTTTGTTGCGCTATGATTGTGTTATATTGCCTCGCCATTGGAGTGCGAGCTTCAATCAAGCAGTTTTGGAACACTGCTATAGCATCACCACATATGAAATCTACCGTGCCATAGATTTCACAATCACGATAGAATTGACGTCGCCTTTTCGCATATAAAGTGTCTTGATACCCGTCGAATCGGCATTTATAGAGAGAGAGGGACTTACCAACGGTTGCGGTATCATATGTTTTGTTGCCGTCAACAAAACTTCTATTACCGGTTATTATCGTATTATCCATCCCTTCTCCGATCAAGACTATATTAATCTTCTTTTTTTCAACTCTAATATATTCCTCATACGTGCCTTTCTTAATCTTTATGAAGAATGGCTTGACACTGTGATCAGGGGCCGCCAATATTGCTCCAGCAATTGTATTGAAATTTCCGGTCCCATCTTTAGAAACAATTGCGTTATAAGATGTTTCTGTTATCAATTGACTTTCAACACATACAACTATAGTTATAGCGAATAACATCATTATGTACCCTGCATTAAAAAAAAAAGTCTGATGATTTTATGAACAAGAATTACAAGTACAATCTAGAGATATAAAGAAAGATACTGTAAAAACTATTTGTGATGGCCATTGCAAAGTTGATAAATTGGCAGCAATTCTTCTTGATAGTGGAAGAGTTTTACTTTTTCTTAATATTGTCCAAGCTTAACAACCCCATCCTTTATATTGTAGTAACCTTTTACTCTTTCTTACACGTTTAATTTTTTGCATACATTTATAAAATGTCATTTTTAAAGACTCTTTTGTTGGACACCTATATGCCATCTTCATTTCATTGATTTTTTCTATCACTGACAAGGATCGCTCGATGCGTCAAATAACTCTAAAATGGAATTGGAACGGGATATTTTATAGGTGGATCTTTGCCTATAAATCATATTAACCTTTAAGTAGTTTATCAGAGAAAAAAGTCTAAATTTTTTTATGCAATTTCATAATCTCTCCTATCTCGGACTGATTCATAGACGTTAAGTACCTACAATCTTAAAGTCGTATGTTTGAATCATCAAAGAAGTAAACTTGTAATAACGTGACTTTCATTCGCCCGATATTTATAATTGTACTCGTTACTCTTTTAGCCCCTCATGTATGTTAAATTTGTTAATTTATTTCATATCTTTTTTTCTTCTTATAGTATCACTCTTTATATTAATAGTATAAAAGTACAATTTACTTGCACGTTAATTTCAAATTTTACACCCACGTGATAATTGAGTTATTGGATAACACAAAAAGTAAACTAGTTGAAGAGCAAATATCCAAGAAAAATACAAGTTGGAGTGATGCACTATATGTTCCCCTATAAGTAGTGTTTTAGCTACAGAATATATATATATATATGTAAAATTCTATCATGAACACTTCAATTTATTTTATCTATATCTACTATATATAGGTGTATTATTATCATTATACTTTAAAAAGGACCTGCTATATTGTTGATAGTCACAATCATGACACATTAATACAAAAGTTGGTGCAAAAGTTCATGATTTTCAAGTGAAAATGACAAATGAAATATATATATAAAGTTCTTACTAAAAAAAGAATATTTAGATACGATAAAGACTTGAGTGAACGATAATTTGATAATGTTCAAGACACATGAATAACTATTATTCATTTGGGGAAAAAACTCTCATAAGTAGTGAAGTCTATGATTCAAATTTAAACTGGTACATTACATTGATTTTGCATAAAATTTATTAAACTTAAGGTAATAATATATAGTTTACATTTATCTATAATTCTAATCTCTAAGTATAAAATATTGATGCTATAGTATTGCACAATTCTATTACTAGTTCATTTCTGCGAAGCTTGTTTCCCATTTATCAACGTTTTCTCTTATCTATAATTCTAATAATAACAGGTAAACTTACAATAGTAAGTGAATAACATTTTATTATATTATATAATTTCAGCTTTTAATTTTTAACTTTTATAATCATATTTCAGAGGGAAATCCTAATTAATTAGTATAACTTTGATAAGATTTAAAAGATCAAATTGAACCTTGACCACTGATAGCAGCCAATATTTAGTTAATTTGTTACTTGTTGCTTTCATTTACCTCAATTAACCCTATTGCTAGTGAAGTGTCTAAATAACACTCAATCCCAAATATTAAATAAAACACTAATAACAATAATATCTACATACTATTACCTAATATGCACTTGCTTCTAGTTTATGAAGAAAACTATTATTGATCACATTAAAGTAATTGTCAAAATTGGCTAAAGAAAACTATTGGTCACATGAACATTAAAATACCAAAATTGCTAGGGAGGAGGGGGGATCGATGATAAAATGGTTTCTTTTCTTCTATACTACAAATGTTTAAATAATTATATGTTTAGGTATCGTTTAAGCAATTTTATCATTTAAGGAGTTGATTCGGATAGTACATGTAAAGATAAAAAGATTGTTTATAATAGACCTTTGACACAAATTCAGAATATCAAAATCATTTTTTAAAATAAAAAAGAAAAATGAAGTGGAAGGTTATAAAGAATAAAATGGAGAAAAATTGCAGTAGCAGTAATCAATAATATGATAATCAAAACAAATTAGACAACAATAATAGAATCAAAGAAACAGAAAAATAATAGTAAATATATATCCGTCCATATCATATCCTTCACCCCCCGGTCCCCCATCCTTTTAATTGTCTTTGTTTCTAGCTTAGCCAGTAATATTACTACTAATCGGCCATGACTAGGACCACCACCAACGCGACTAATTATATCAACTCCGTCATACAAATATAGAGGTTGCGTTTAAATATTTTCTTTAATACTAGTAAAATATAAGTCATACGACTATCTGAAGTGTTATTTTACTAAAACAATATAAAATTTGAGACTAGGATAGTGGTCCTTAATTGTTTGAAACATTATCATTGAGATGAAGATCTTTAGGTTTACTGTTATAGTGTACTAAATCATAAAAATGACAATTTTATTTATGAATTTCTAACATTGTACATAATATTCTTGAGAAATAGTTAGTGTAGGGATTTAATAGTTATTTCAACTTTAAATAAATCGATGATCACATAATTATGATATTATACATCACTGATTAATCAAAAAATGAATTTTCCAGTAATAGTGATTTTTATGTTATTAGGGTGAAAGTTTTGTAATTTTTATGTTAGGAAACTTAATTATATTACTTTTATGAAAAGAGTTGAAATAATTTTATCTATAATCCTCTTGAAATTTAAGACAAAATATATCTAATTAATAATATTGAAAATTAATTTTTTTTAAAAAATATCATTTTTATTGCTCCTTCCCTAGAAAGCCAAATGTCATTTTCATTTTCTTGGTTTTTGTAGCATTTGGACCATTACTTAGGCCTCAGAGAGCTCTTGAATTTAATGAATTTACACGTTAGGTTTATATCAAGTCTTTGAATTATTTTAAAATGATTTTTGAGAAAATTTGAAAATCCTTTACAATTTTGCTATCCTAGCTTTAGAATCAATATCGGAGGAGTTCCATGAAATGAGTTGGAGAAATTGAACGAAATAGCTTTCAAAAACAAATAGTAGTTTCACTCGAACTTAGATACGTAAATGGAGAGTTGAACACAAGGAAAAGAGTTATTTCTTTGATGAAAGATGTCACAAAACTACTATAACTATTACATATTTGATATTCTTTGTGTCAATGAGATTCAACATTTAATATATAAATAAAATAAAATTTTAACCCTATATATGCAATGTATTTTTTTTGTTTTTGATTTGCTTTGTGGATCCCCCCACCCATAAAACAAGGTACAAACACAGGAAACATGATTTTCATGTTGATTCATCACAAGATCTTTGTGCACGGTCCTAAAGTAATCTAAGAGTGTCAATTAGGTTGATTCATTCTAGGATCGAATCAGATCTAGTAGTAGCTTATATTGATCTAACCCAAGATTTATGGGTCGTGACGTGTCAGTTCACCTTGATGATCTGAAACCAGCCGAGCATAAACCTCAATCGATAATCGAAATGATTGACTTATACTATTTGTGTTTTCATGGTACTGGATTAAGCAAGCCTGCTCGAATGTATAGTTTAAAATTTAAATTATATTAAACATTCATGAAGTACTTAAAAAAACTTTTAAAATATTTATTTAAAAATAAAATTTAGTTGAAACCAAGACCAATATGGCCCAGAATTGCACAAGTTACATCAAATCTAATAAAACTCAGATCGGTAGGATCCGGTAATCCCAAGCCTATATCCAAACCAAACACAGAGCGACCACATTCCGTAGCTAGTGAATCAGCTTGATTGCCCGATCCAGTGCCACCCTTAAATAGTTAAATTAATATACCAAATACGTCTTCTTCTTTTTGAACTTTTGGCTATTATTCTTTTTGCCTTAATTTATGTGATACTATTTGACTTTAGTACAAAGTTTATGAAAAAAATTATCTTTTTATATTTGTGGTTCGAAATATTCATGGACTATTTGTGTTGCTATAAATGATTTATATAGAAGTAAATAGAAAATTTTATAATTAAATATTAAAATATTAAATTGTGTCCAGGGACGGACCGACCTATATATATATATATATATATATATATATATATATATATATATATATATATATATATATATATATATATATATATAAAGAGTCAATTCCGTAAATGGTCACCCAAGTTAAGAGAATTATCTTGAAATATCATTTACATTTCATTTAGGACCAAAATATCACTCAACTATCACTATTTTCCTCCAAATATATTTGTCACTTCAAAATCATCACTCTCTCCTAGTTGGCATGACATGTTATTAAAGTCTTTTTTTCACTAATAGACTAATTTTAATTGATTGAACCCATTTAACTAAAATAATGATCATATTGATGAGATTATAGTACGTTTTAAAAACGTATTTTGCATAACATCAAAAATAAAAAAATTTGAAGTATGAAAATGTATTCTTAATAAATTAATTAAAAACTTAAAAATAATATGATCGTTATTTTAGTTAAATGAGTTTAATAAATTAAATTAATCTATTATTAAAAAAGACTTTAATGACATGTCATGCCAAATAGGAGAGAGTGATGCTTTTAAAAGAGTCAAGTATATTTGGAGGAAAATAGTGATCGTTAGGTGATATTTTGGTCCTAAATGAAACAACATAAATGATATTTCAAGGCAATTCTCTTAACTTGGATGACCACTTAGGGAATTGACTCTAAAATAAATCATAAATTCATGAATATGTAATGACCGAGAAGGCCTTTATTTTGAAAGTTTAAATTATTTGGGTAACCGAAGTTGTTTAATTGAAGAATAATTGTAGATAATTGAATTAATCCTTAGTGGGCTAAAGTGTCCATTTGTTTAAAACTCTATAGTATTGCGGTCAGGTATTAAAAGAATAAGTTAGTGGGTTTTACCAATTTAGTTAACTATTAATTTAGAAAAGAGATGAGAATGTGCGACTGTTGAAAGAAAATAAGGAGAATGGGAACGAAAATTTAACGGTGACGGCGTCGATCACGAGTGCAGGTATGTGCTTTTAATAAATGGAAATTTTGGATGGATTACCTGCATGAATACACATTAATATAATTATATATATAGGAATATTAGTATATGATGGGTAGAAAGAGAAAGAAGACTTAATTACCTATTTTAGAATTATTAGTTTTTTTTTAATAACTATGTGATTGTTGTTAAAAGAAAAATTAATCATGGGTAATGATTGTCTGGGCAGGCACTTCCCGAGGCTGTTGTTGAGTCCCCAACTAGGGGTGGGGATAGAGCTCGAGCCAGAGGTCGTGCTCGTGGTACGACAGTAGCCAGAGGTCGTGGCAGTGGACAACAACAGTGAGAGGTCGTGCTGGAGAAGTTTCTCCAGAGCCCTTGATTGATGACAGAGAAGACCAGGTTCCTCCACAGCATGTAGTCACACCTTTGCTTAGGATACA